AGAGATAATAGAAGTATAGAAACAACATCCGATGTTATGTCAGCACCTTGACAGGATTATGACTAATAAATTGCAGTCGACATGTCATCCAGATATAATACTGTATTACTCATTGTGTGGATTTCATCAAATATAACTACTATGTGATGACGGAAATGATTTCGTGCCTATTCTCCGCTAAACAGAAGAAGTCGGCCTATTTCTAATCCACCTGATTGCTCCTATTACAGGTGAACACGAAACATGTTGATGAGTGAGGAAGCAGTCGACTAAAGATGAGCATCCCATAAGCTCACTGAATCAAATCAACTCGAAGTAAATCAAAGTCATTTCTCTTCGCCTGATGTCACCACCTCTCACTCGATAAATACAAACACCACAACACTCACAAACATATTCCCATCGAGTTTGCAGACTGACTGTACACAGTCAGACATCCACATGCCACTACTCGTCAACGCTTCATACTCCTCAGTCTACTAGGATATTCCAAACAATACAAAAACATCGACAACAACTGTCTGACTGACTAGCTGTACAAATATTCTCCTCCCAAAACTACACGTCAGCATTCGAGCCGTAGACCAGAGGATTCACTCACTAGAGATGTGAAGAGCTAAAGAGGGGAGAGGAAATACTTCTCACTAGTCTAAACCGTCGACTCACATCTACATAAACCCACATAAATGCCGTGATGATGGGATTCACCAGAATCAGAAACACTCCGTTTCATAAAGACCAATTGTGGACACAACAAATTCGCCCTACCACATTCTCTCCATGTCTCTCTATCTCTCTCTCTGTCCTTCTGAGTGGTTGTCACCATTAGATGAATGTATGCTGATGTACAACGTCGAGGATGTGTTCGGTTGTGTAGAGACAGTCAGTGATATTAGCACGAACAATGAAGCTATGAGATCCTTGGAAACGGTTGACTACATATGTGAACTAATAAACGACAAATCCATGAGTATTGGGATCCCAGTAGAAGTCGTTAAACGACTCCCACTAAAGTGACGTATGAAGGTGAATGTTATATTTGACGATGAGGCGTGCAGAGAGGTGGTGGGTGATGTTCCAATGGGTGGGCTTTTGACTGCATGTAAGCACCGCAGATTTCTTCCCAAGTAAGCTAAAAGACAATCTCTCGCAAAGGTTCATCAAAAACTTCACATTTCTTTGTCGACACATAGATTAGATGGTGTATTTATCCTTTGTCAAAATGACTCAGATAACATCATGCATGATACACCGCCATTTCAATGAATTTTGAAATACATCCAACCATCAAAATCACGTATGAAGAAGAATCCCAAGGGTAAATCACCTTCGTCGGTGTCTTTGTCACAAGAAGATCACATAAAATGAAGTCCATTTGAGAAAAGCAAATGGACAGGACAATGTACGCATTCCCATAGTTTCGTGTCAGCCAACATGTACAAAAGTAATCAGACAATGTCACTCAGCTATAAAGTGCCAACTGTATACTGGGAAGATATCACTCACGACGAGCTAAATACTCTACATGATAGCTTAACTAACTGTAGCTGTCCGGAGAAGTTCATAAGGAAACAGATGAATCAGAAAGTCGAAAATAAATATCCACAGAATTTGTAGTCCTCACAGTTTCCAGTCAATATTCTCTACACACCTAATTACAATACCGAATCTGAAATGTGAACATTCTAGGCTGACCGCTCCTTCCTTCCTTCCTGTAACTACCAATTAACTTGATTGTCTTTTTATTATTATATGCACTGTTGTTCCCTTGGGTCACGAGTCGAACATACGGCTTCAACATACGCTCTCCCGGTTATCTGACAAATCATTCTTAACCACATAATTGTCATACAGGCATCATTGTCAACATCTATGAAAGACAATGCAATCAAGAAATGATAATTTCACTCACCTTCATAAGTGAGATAGATATACATTATTAAAGAGGTCGACTATTCTGAGAAATAATTGTTAGGCTGCATGGAAACCAGGGAGGGAATACTGGACAGATATTTCGTTCTAGTATGACACTACTCAGCGGTACCCTCGCGACAGTGTCCCACATCATCACCTTCCGACCATGAGGACAGATCGTAGACCATTCAGACACTTGGACCCAATCCAATGGCTAGTCCATCAATCTCAACATCTACCAATTCGCGATATACATATATATATGTGTAGGCAGAAACCACTTCAAAGCGATACTTCGGTCCTATTTTCAGTTGACCATCAATATCCACCTCATCATTCCTAAATACCTACAGAGCTCCGCTAATTCGGATTTCAGTGTACAGACTTCTTGCCTCAAAACCAACCACTTCTTCATCGTGCAGCAAGCTAAAGTGAACAATATATGCATTTAATCCATATATACATATTTTCATACCTTCATTTCTCTGCAGTACAAAAGAAATTTGGTAGCGACACTCACCTTGTTACAGTTTCACAGCTGTATTTTCACAAGGTGTAATTGATGATCAACTTAACATTGAATACAACGCTACAACTGAAAGTAGCTATCCCGAACAGTTCATCACCAACTACATCGTCAAGAAAGTCGAAAACAGCTCTTCTCGTCTATCACCTACTTGATTTTCATGTTTGCAAATGCCTACCAGTCTCGCTGAATAAACATGTAGCAGAAGCCATCAACAGTTACTTACATACTATACTAGACCACCTGGTCCAACACACACACACACACACCAGAAAACGAGCATTGAACAATCTTCTCCTATCATGCCAAATGCCTCTAGACACTGAACACTAGAAGCAGCAGAGGTTGTTGCAATTCGCTTAAACCAACCACTGATCATCGATCTGTGTGAGAAAGGAACAAGTTCAGTCAATATTGTAGACCTAGTCTTGTGTGCAATCAACAAATTCATAATTACTCCATTCAGCCATGACATTCACGCATGATCTGCCTTGCTCTTTCACTAAATTCACCACACCACACTACACCACATCACATCACATCACATCATCCTTCATTTTTACGCCTGTACGAACAAACATTTCGTCTTCCCAATTTATCAATCAATCAGTCAATCAATCAATTAATGCACTTACAGAATGCAGTACACACACACACACACGCACAATCCTCCACCTCCTCGTCTCTACATTCTCTGCATATTTTCATTATTCATCTCAAGTTTACAATCAGCATGAATACAATTCAAATCGAACACAAGTCATGAAGGTTCAGACGCAGAACAAGAAAAGTAGTCAACTATGCTCTCCACACACCAATCAAATCATCCATCCGTCTAACTGACTGAATAAATATGACCAGGAATTATTAACTACACAAACGATTCGATGCATCATGACCCTACCCTCATCATCATGACACTATAACACCTAGTTGAACATGATCCTATCACCTCGATTGTCAGTGAACATGAACCTCTTAAATCATTCTCCACCAACATCTCATCAAAATACATTGACCTCCGTATATTCAGCCTCAAACCCATCATCCATCACATATTCACATTCACATTCATATAGCCACACGAGAAAACACCAGATGTCTAACCAAACTATCATTTGATAAATCAAAGCTTACTAAACAAACTGACTAACTAACACAGACTCTATCCAGAGTCTTGCTATTTCAACACACTTCAACATGAACACTTCACCCACTACTCACTTGTTTACGCTGAATGTCATGAGTTCATCAGGCCGATTTCTCTAACACAGGATACACGCATCGATGCATGGATGGTTAGTTAACCAACGTGTCTCTTCTCCTCATCACAATCCATTTCCATTCGATCAATGCAACAACAAAAACAACAACAACAACAACAGCAACTGTACGATTAATCTCACCTAAACACATTTTATCAATCATCGAAATCACAAAACAAACACAAATCCATCACCTGTACTCCCCACCCCCCCCCCCCAACCACAAACACACACACACACAATGTTTCAAGCACAACAACTATCAGTCAAAACAAATCCCACGTCGTCATTTCAATCACTCACAACACCCACATCGTCGGGCTGGCTCCCATCATCATAAGTAGACAAAATCAAACTCACATTTCCCAGAACACCTTCTACACCGGAGGACGCCAGCCAACTAAGTCGCTCGCTGGCTGGCTGGCTACACATGCTCTCTTTCACAATACATGCCACATTACTCACCAAAACTATTTTCAAATTACACGCTACAGTAACTCATTCAAAAAGACATCATTAGTGAATACATACATGTAAATATTTATTATAAATATCGAAATTAATAAAAACTAGGGATATCTGATTTACGCGTACTTCCTTCCTCATTCTGTCTTCAAGATTGCGACAATGAATTCAACATCCTACACCAATATTCTTTCATCATTCTCATACTTTCAACCCTCATTTCCGCAGCTTCAATCTCCAAATCCAGACATCGCATCTTCTTCTCAAACAGTAACGACTCACGTCTTCTTCTCTCATCCACATCACATCTACAGGGGGAGAAAATTCTGTTATTTACTCCTCACAAAATAACTCAAGTAAGTATGAGAAGTTGTGAAATCCACAACAACGGTCACATAACTACAGGTCGAAACACTCAACACCACCACCACCAACAACAACAACAACAAAATCTGTCTCTCCTCAATATCATGTCCGACTACTAACTTATCCACAACCACCTACAACAAACAATCCCGTAGTCTTCTCAATTACCTCCCCACTTCCACACTTTCCACCTTAACCTTAACTTCATTACCAATTGTACGAATCACCTTCGATACACTCGTTGTCTATTTCTCTCCCTAAGTCGGTCTCACACGAACACATGAATAAACAATATGTATCGATGAAACGTATCAGAGCACAGTACCAATACGCGACGAAACAGATGTCAACAACTCCTGTGCCAAATGCCTTCGTTGCACGTTTCTCGACTTCACTTCTCCTTTTGACTCTTTCTGTACCTAGATGTCTCTTGTTAAATAAGCTCTCGATGACACAAACTGAGTCGGACGTCATTTCGTCGCCGTAGTCACCGTCCTCCTCCTACTCCTCCTGCACTTCCTCTGCCTTCGCTTTCACCTGCTTGTTGGTAACATGCACATCCTCACAATGCATACTTCACCCAAACTACCCAATGAAATACTAAAATCTATGTCCCAAACAAACCTCAACATTTCATTCTATTTAAATGCAATAGTCCAGGATATTTCACAGCATATTTCCAAGTAACTCAGCCTTTCTCCTCTCTTTCTATCTCCTTTCGCTAATCAGTACTAAACCTTCAGGTAGTGCATTCATTCATTCAGTCACTCATCGATTCATTTATTCATTGGGTCGTTAGACATATATATAAATAACGTTTGCAATAGGGGGACCAGTTTCTATTGTTGCTTTTCTACAGAATAACCAGTAACTTACAAACACATCAGTCAGGAAAGATATCCCTCCGTGCAACTCTACTTCAAAGCCCCCAACCCCCCCCCACACACACACTTATTCACACCTTTATATATACAAAGTTAGTTGAACAGTAATCTCAGAGATAATTGTCATTTAGTCACGGACTAAGTCACAGTGAAGTCAGAGAAGTAACAATCCATGAAAAAAATCCACGAATAATCTCAGTCAATAGAGAAAGTTGACGAATTACAGCAACAGTAAGCAATAGACACCAAAGTTAAATCACCTTGATTTGACTAATCAGATAGCTCAGCATTACAAATGCTTCCTAGTCGTAATCCTCTTTGAAAGTGTCGCCTACATTTGCTTTTTCACTTCTCTGTAGATAATGTGTTGTTGACAGGGTGGAAAAAAACATGCATGTGTGGAGGGATAATAACTCTGGAAAAGTATTCACGGGCTGGCTATTGACGGTTACACATTCAGATGCAACCACTTTATATGAGGAAGTCTGTATAACTTGGTAAGTCGTACATAACTGATGATCTTTTAGACACTTTCTTCTCAAAATCAAAGCTCTCCCTTAGTAATATATTGCGTAGATGCAATCAGTATCTGCTCCAGCTGCAGAAATAGACAATACATTCGTTTGATATGTCTATAACCACTTCTATGACAATCTGGGACCAGTCAAGAGAAGTGACCAACGAGGACCACCACAACACAGCACAGCACACTATATCACGTCACATCACATGACAGAACATGTAGGACAAATTAACATAACAAATATCATTACTCACCTATAACCCCGGTCACTTGAATCAACATTCCCCACTCCATCATCACCAACTCCATTCACATCCATCTCCTCACAACTCTCGTCATCACTTGACAACGACAAATCAATAGTCTCACTCACGCCAGAACCACCTCCTCCAACACACCCTTCACCAACTCCCACATCGCCAACACGACAACCCTTCACCTCACCAACACCATTCGAAACACTCACAGATTCATTCACTCCACTGTGTGCTCGAACTCCATTACTCAACTCGTCGCTCCTATTCGTACGATTCACAGTCTTCTCCACTGAGTCGTATGGAACACACAAATTCTGGGGGATAAGAGCTATTGAGTAGGCGTTCAAGATTCTCAGACCCATCGTGTTTGAAGGATTCGTGTCAGTGGAGACCGTAGAAGGCGTTGAATTGATGTGGGGTCTCTGTGACATCCAAACACATGGTGAGGGAGTCAGTAACGGCAGACTCAATTGACGAACACTCGAGTCAACATTACCTACCTTCATTCAATAGGATTAACATGTTGTTATGGAATGTGAACATACCGAAGTGTACTGGCCACTCACATCGGAATCTCCATTACCACTGACCACCACGTGATGAATAGAGACGGATTCAGAAGACTTCGGAATATCGGGACACACTGAGGCCAGTCTGTCTGTCATGGTGAGATTCAGCTTTCTCAGAATTTTCCATCCCTTATAACGGAGTCGAGTCCAGTGTCGTCTCGGATATCCTTTCGAGTGCAGATATTCTGAGAATCGCACCCACATGTTTTTCTTCATCAGCAGTGATCGCGGACTTCTTTCTCTGTCCGTCAACATATTCTTGTATTTGATTAGTAGTTGTGTGAATTCTTTCACCTCGTTCTTTTTGTATGTCATCGGTGGTGTGATTGGCTTTGCTTGTTCTTTGACTGCTTCATCATTCTGTGTCGCAGATGTATCGGCCATAATAAATAATAATAATAGTAATAATAATAATAGTAGTAGTAATAATTATAATAACCGAGAGGTTTTGCAGATATTCCGTAATTTGTTTCAGTATGTCGTTGTGTTATTCTCGGTTAGTGTATTTCTCTGGTATATTTCTGCGTGTTTTTGTATATATGTTGATATTATATAGAGACAGTGTCTAACTTATTATCATAGGTGTATGTATATGGAAGGGTTGTCATTGGATGTTCCAGTGGTTTTCGTCACAAGGTCATACACGAGTGTTGGCTAGACATGTTGGCCTTGTTTTCTGGTGATTGAGGTCACAGGATTTTGGAACCAAGCATGCTCATTGGTTGTTGTTTGTTGCAGCCTGTGATTTGTTTTGTTTTCCATTTCAATGTAGAAATTACTGGTGAATAATCGGCCTGTTGTTTGTTTTCGTGCATGCATGCAAGCGGTTATGACCACTTCTCTCATTCTCTCTGTGTCTCTTTGTCTAGCTGTGGGCGTGTTCGTGTGTGTGTGCGTGTTTCTATGGTCTACATCAGATTTTCAATCCTTTTCATTCATTCAGTCATTCACTCATTGATTTATTCATGTCTACTTCATGATTGGTGGAAAACGAGATGTTGAAGTTTTCATGATGCCCGTAAAAAGTTTGAGCATTGTGGATTAGATCAAATAAAGTATAATTATATTTCAATAGTTTACACACAATGATAATAATAATAATAATAATAATGATTTACTTTATTCCGAAAACAGTACTTGTGATACAGAATGGAATTTTCAGCATTATTCACAATATTGCATCTAATTTCCTCAAATTATAAATAAAATTAATCACATAGAAAATTTTCCACATTTACAATAGGGTTAATATAAAAAAATAAAAGACATGCAGCATATAAAATGGAAATAATAATAATGATAATAATACAAGTGAAAATTTCCATGGGCTTGTTTCACACAGTATTGTCAATGCGGTATACAAATCCTTGCATGATTAAAAACATTGAATATAATGTTCTCTTTACATGATATGGTGAGGGAAAAAAACAAAGATTACAGCAGTCATAGAGATAAGTTGGTGTTTGCAGTTATGAAAGTAAAAACAAAGAAGCAACAGGACCATAAATATAATAGAAATAATAAAAGTGAAACTTGAAGGCATATAAGGATGGATGGAGGAGATTGTTTATTTACTAGATGAAAAAAAGTTAGTCAATTCTTGCCTGACGCTATTTTCATCACATAAAATACGGGCCAAGTGTGGTATGATAGAATTTTTATACTTAGATGTGCGAGCATACTGTTTTCTGAAGTCACTTCTTGTTCTACCTGAGGAGATGCAAGGTGAAAGCTGAGGGTGCTGTGGTGCGTGCTCCAAGTCAGACAAAATCCCTTTAGCGAATTTACTGCACGAAGTCAAATGCCTATCGACAACGACGTTAACTATGTAGTCCACTGGGACACCACTCATCCTACTGACAGTCTTCAGCATTCTACGAATTGTGACAAAGTCCTTTTTAAGTAAACCAGGAAGGAATAAGCAGGGGTGAACAATAAAGAAGAATAGGTAGGATGCAAGAGTTTATGAACTGTAAGAGGAGGGGTTGAGTTAAACCCGAGTGCCTTAACTTCTTAATGTAAAATGTCAGGCGGAATATTTTACTGGAGATCGCTGAGACATGGGAAGACCAGGAGAGATCGGAAGAGACAATAAGTCCAAGATACTTAATTTCAGTTTTTTAATTCCTATATCATTGTCATCAATCTTACAACTGTCATGAGAATCGACGGCTTCTTTTAACTGTCGTTTACATCTTAAGCTGAAATTAACAGTTTGACATTTAGAAGGATTCAGTTTAAGACCGTTAGACTCACACCATTTACTGACTTCCGACAGAAAGCTATTTATTTTGGTACAATCTAGCTGGGAGTTAACAGCCATTGAAACAGCTAAATCATCAGCGTACTTCACAAAGTTTATTTCATCAGACTGAGGCAAGTCATGTAAGAAGAAAGAAAAAAGAAAAGGAGAAAGGACAGCGCCTTGAGGGACACCAGCTTCAGTAGGTAATGAAGTCGAAGACTTCCCTTTATATACGGTGTACTGCTTTCTTTCTGAGAAATAAGAATGTAACCAGTTAGCAGCCCAACATTCTGTTTGACTTACAGCAAGTTTATTTAACAAGATGTCCCTAGGGACCGAGTCAAAAGCAGATGTATAGTCTAGGAAGGCACAACGAACAAATTTAGCCCCTTTGTCTAGACTGGAAGCAATGTTATGATATAAGACGGCGGCTGCATCTAAAGTGCTTCTACTGTGCTTACAGGCGAACTGTTTTGGGTCATTAAAGGATTTAAGAGAGGGTACAAGACTAAGTAAAAGTAGTTTCTGCATAGTTTTCAAAAAAGGAGAGGTAATAGCAATGGGTGTAAATTTGACACATGCTCCAGTAGACAATTTAGGTATGGGTACAACTTTAATGTCTTTCCAAACAGCAGGCACAGTATTACTGGAAAAAGATTTGTTAAACAGATCAGTGAGAGGGTAACATAGAATATCAGAACATTTTTTGAAAATAATACTAGGTACATGATCTGGACCTAAGCTCTGGGAAGGGTTCAGAGACTTGAGACACTTTTGAACATCATTTGTGTTAAAACCTGGAAAGGGGCTATTATTAACACTAGTGATACTGGGAAGCATGGAATTTGAGGGAGAATAAATAAAAGATTTATTAAGAGTACATACATCAGAAGAATACGGAATATTGTTAATCTGCTTACCACCAGTGATTTCCTTAAATAGTTTCCACATATTTGAAGCATTTTTGCAGGATATGAATTTCTGGTTATATGTAACATTCAATCTCTGCATTTCAGACTTGATAAGGAAGTTAGTTCTTCTTACACCACTTTTATCTTTCATTTTATATAGCTTTTCCTTCTCTCTACGAAGCTTTTTAAGTTGAGGGGAGGAGAAACGGTCGAATTTGACGAATAGTGTTTCTTTTGGGCAGCAGATTTCAAAACAGAATTTCAGATAAGACGTAATATTAGAGATTGTGTCATCAAGTGAAACATCATTAAACAGATCCCATCTTGTGTCACTGAGCATGTTCCTAAGATGTTGTACATTCTCATTTGAGTAACATCTGTGAACAACTTTCTTGGACAAGTTAGAGAAGGCTTTTCGTGTTACTTTCCGTAAACTTTGGGCAGAACTCGTACAATACAGTGATCAGAGTTTGAGAGTGGAGCTCTTTTACGAGCTTCGTATATTCCAGAATCATTTATGAATACTAAATCAAGCGAAGTATCTTGTCGAGTTGGGAAGTTAACCACATTTTCATGACCCAGCAATGTAATAAAACTGTAGTCACTGGCGTGAATAAAACAATTCCAACAGTGGTGTGAACACGGGCAGTAATTCCGCTCGAAAGATTACCAACAACAAAACTTATCATTGTGTGTAAACTATTGAAATATAGTAATACTTTATTTTTATGATATATTCACATCACATCGCATAATATAACATAACAATGTTTAGTCTACGCCTTCGTTCGATCGATTGATCAGTCTATCAATGAATCAACAGCCAAACTGCCTGAACTGGAACAGGCTGAATTGGAAGATGAGAAATTGGATGACATTAGTGATGTATGCTTGTGAAACTTACAGGACAGGCAGGCAGGCATGAGGATTGAGAGGAAGAGAGACTGAAGTAGTGTAGGGAAAGGCGTGAGAAAACAGGGCGATGACCAGTGTGTCACACCACCCGAATCGCATCAATATCGTCCTCCTTATTTTCGTCTATTCGTGTGAGCTCTCCTGATCAGGATAGACAGCAGCGAGTGAGAGAGCTATGGACACAGATTCTTCATTGACATGAGAAAGGTCGATGAGCTACTCGAGGCTTGTTGAATATGCTGTGTGAGAGACTACTGGGTCATCATCATCATGGTCATCATGAAAGACAGTGGAAGTGAAAAGGTGGTAAGACTACGGTGAGTAGTAGTTGACGATGGGAATGGAATGTGTGCCCTCAAAGAAGTAAAGTTAATTATAATTATAATTTCATTTTTAAATAGTTTATACACAATGCGAAGTTGGTCGGTTGGTTTTAATTGTCTTGGTAATATTTCGAGGAGAATTAGTGGCGATGATCATACGAACTGTTGGAGAGGAGTTTGTTACTGGTTATGGTTAGTGCAAATGTCATGTTAAGAGAGAGGTGATCGGTGGTGTGGTGTGGTGTGATGTGATTTGATATGTGAGTAAAGAGTATTGTTCACTTGGTAACTTCACTTCTCACTCAGACTGCAGAGTTAGATGTTGAGTGTGTGTTCGAGGTGATGGGGATGGGGATGGCTGACTCAGGTGAATTATTAATATAATATGTCTGAGATCAAATTTCGATCACCGTTCATGAAATTTTGTCTATAATATTTTTATGACTGCTTCATGACTCATATGATTGGACAATGCCTTTATATACAAGAGATGTCCTTTTTATTGATATATAAACCTCTGTTGTGTTAATTTCGATTAAGTTCCCTGAGGAAGTTCGGATCAGTTTTCTGAAGGTAGGAAACGTTGGAATTACTCATTTGGATTTCCCTGAGGATTTACAAAAGTTTTATTTTTGCAGATGTCTACTTGTCACTCGACGTCCAATTATTTTCGAACTATTCTGTCAAATCTTGATCACAGTTCATATATATATATATATATATATATATATATATATATTTCAAACCAAAATACAATTAGTTATGGTTATTTTAAGTAAAGCGGTGAGAATTAGTAACTTTGGTTTGGAGTACCGTAATACGAAAACGCTCAAGAAAATTGGGTGTTAATGAAACTAGTGTAGTAACAAAGGTGATGAGGTGTCACAAACAGTCGTCAAAAAGAAGTTACGTAGTGATATGAATAGTTTGGTAATTGAGTTGTACTCAGGATGCACATAGAAACAAAGTAGAGAATGTGAAATCAAGTAAGACTTCTGAATGAATACAAGGATTATGAGCTATTAGAGAGACAAGAAAACATGCAAAATTAAGTCATGAAAAATTAACAAAGTTGTTACCATGATAGTAGAAGTGTTTGAGCAACTCTCCCTCATATGC